AGAATTTTCCATTTAGTTATCAAAGAGATTTTTTTTTTTAAAAGCTCAAATAATTTCATCTGTCCTTGCTGACAGAGGAGGGAGTGACAGAGGAGGGAGTGACAGAGCAGGGAGTGACAGAGGAGGGAGTGACTTGCTGGATTGACAGTTTGAGGAGGCAGAGGGCTGAGGAGGAGCTTTAGATTTTGGGGCCTAATTTTATCCCTTGCAACTGGGAAAGCAGGCTGGCCCCTAATTCCTCTGCCAGATCAGCCAGTGTGTGAAGCCAGTTTCGTATTTTATTCTGAGAGAGGAGTTCCATGGGAGCCCTTGGCTGGCCTCATCCCACAGCTCTGTGCAGAAGCCCAGCCACAGTGATGTCAGCTCTTCGTTGTCATGTTGGCAGCACACAGGTCTGGGCCAGGCTCCTGGACCAAGGCTGCCTCACCCACCCCAAGGGCACAGAACTCGCAGACCACAAGGCGCTTCTCCCCACAGGGCCCGTCGTTCCACTGGCCATTGGTGTACATCTCCGCACAGTCCTCCATGTCGCGATAGTTGTTGGGCTCACCAGAGGCCCAGTTTGAATAGACCAGGGACTCCCCTCCTGGATAGATGAACTTGCCCTCCGTCTGGGAGTCAGTCATGCTCAGGAATGCAGCACCCTTGTTCTCAATCTCAACCAGCTGTTTCAAGGCCTCGTTCTCAGCTGCATTTCGTGGGGAGGGCAGCTGCCCCCCGGCCTGTGCACACACTTGCTGTGCCTCCTGGAAAGGCTTTACAAACCTTGCTGTCTTGAAGACCTTCTGGCCAACACTTTGGCCATGGAGGAAGAGCTCCACTAGGAGGAGAGCACAGTCAGGTTGGGTTTCTGGGGGCACCTGCCAAAGCTCCATGGCTCTGAGACCTTTGTGCTCCAACCAGAGCCCAGGCCTCCCATATAGGGCCTCAGAGCACCAGGAAGGACTAAGGTGAGACCCTGGGTCCGCGGTGCGCTCTGGGAGGTTGATCTGCCTGTCTAGTTACAGGTGAGAACACTGGGCTCAGAGAGGTTAAGTAAGAGGCTCAACATCATGTGACCATCACATGTAGAGTTGGGGGTCACCCTTATCTGATCTCACACTAGAGCTGAGACGTGTACTTCCTATATCACCCCATGTTGCATGGCTGAATCGCTCTCCCAGGTATTGGGTGGGACCAGGAAGCTTTGGCATCGTGCAGCCTCTGAGAGCTGGAAACAAGGAAGGTGCTCACTGATCTCACTGTGGACCCTGCATAACAGCAGGGCATGTGGCATTGACAGGGAGGTCCGTGCCGGGTGTGGATGTCGGAAAGAAGAGGAGAGGGTGGGCCATCTGAGGGCAGCGCTGTGCTAATCTCTGCACTGTGTGCGCCCAGTGCTGGCCTCTAGGTGTGCATGTGGGTGAGGCTAGAGATCTGGGAGAGAGGACAAGGACAGCTGAGAGGTGTGCATGGGCGTCAGGGGCAGGAGAGAGTCAGTGCTGGAGAGAGGCCTGTCTGGGAGTCAGAGGGCCAGGTATTCAGGCCGGCCTTGGCCATGACTGTCCAGGTGGACAAGGTAATATCACTTCCTTTTGGGGGTTTCCAGTTCCTCATCTCTAAGATGGGAATACAATTTATAAAAGCATCACCTGTGTGACATTCAACATCACTTTTCAGTCCATCTCATTTTCCATCCCTTTAAGTGAGTTAGTGTGTGTGCTTTAATGTGTGTTTTTTTTAATCTATTTTATTGATTTTTTATTTATTTTTTTTTTTTTTAAATATATTTTATTGATTTTTTACAGAGAGGAAGGGAGAGAGATAGAGAGTTAGAAACATCGATGAGCGAGAAACATCGATCAGCTGCTTCCTGCACACTCCCCACTGGGGATGTGCCCGCAACCAAGGTACATGCCCTTGACCGGAATCGAACCCGGGACCCTTCAGTCCGCAGGCCGACGCTCTATCCACTGAGCCAAACCGGTTTCGGCAATTTTATTGATTTTTTAAAGAGAGGAAGGGAGAGAGATCCAAGAAACATTGAACAGAGAGCAACATCGATCAGCTGCCTCCAGCAC